GATGACATGAATGATATCTTTGTCAGTACTTCTGTTTCTGATTCTTTGTTGTCAGTATTATTTTGAGTCATGTGAAATTGCCCGTATCTGACCATCTTTAACCTGCAAAACCATTAATTTCATATGGTCCGAACTCTTATGTGGGAAACTCAACTGATTTTTGATATCATGACTCTTAGCTTTCAGTCACTGTGACAAAACACCTGAGATAACCAGCGTAATAAGGGAGAGAGTTTCCTTGGCCCGTGGCCTTCGGGGCTGTGGTGAGGAAGCACCTCCAGGCCGGAGCCCGTGGTGGAGGAAGCTGCCCCCCTCCAGGCAGTGAGAACAGGAAGGGGAGGGCCAGGCCCCAGGGTCCCCTTCAAGGGCACACATACAGTGACCTCATTTCCTTCCACTAGGCCTCCTAAAAGTTCTAACCTCTCCCAATAATGCCAGGCCTGGGGACAAGCCTTCAGTGCAGGAGCCTTTGGGGACTTTGAAGGCTTGAAGTGTAGCAGAGGTCACCAGCACCTGGTGAGCCTCACTGGTTGCTGTCACCAGCGCACCTGCAGGGTGTCCCGGCTGAAAAGCTGCTCCCAGCGCCCAGGGCAGGGAGTGACCTAGCTGTGGTCCTGGGGAGGGGCTGGCCGAGTGGCCGCAGTGGATCCGAGGAGGAGGCAGGGGCCAGTGGATGCTCTTCTCCTGTGTGTCCTCAGGCTCATTCCCTCCCTCTCTGGGCCTCAGGGCTCCCTTGGAGAAGTGGGACCTCCCCATCCTGGGCCGTGGGAGCTGGCCACAGCGGTGGGAGGTTCCGAGGATGGGGAGGTGCGTCTTGGCCAAGGCAGCCTGGCCCCCAGCTTCTCTGCCTCCTTCCCAGGACCGTCGCCATGGCAGCCGTGTCCCCGGGGGTCTGCCAACTGCAGGAAGCAGTGTGAGCCCGACTACTACCTGGACAGGACTGGCCGCTGCATGGCCTGTGTGAGCTGTTTGCAAGGTGAGGGTGCGCTCCTCCCTCGGGGCTCCTTCCAGGGAGCACGGGGGCTGGAGGGTGTGAATGGTGTGGGTGGTCTTTGGCTTGGGCCGCTCAGCCCACAGGAGCCTCCGTTTCCCTGTCTGATGTTCTGAACCCTCAACTTCTGGTGACCCCCACTCACACCTGTGGTTTGTGGTGGTTGAGTTCCAAGGACTTCCACCCACCCCGTCCCTCCTTCCAGGAAGCATTTACAGGTGACCTGCCTCTTCCAAATCTGCTCCAGACCTGTTCCAAACTTGTCTCATCAATTTTTTTTTTTTTTT